TTCGCTTTCCTGGGCATGTGAATGTCCATCCCAGATCAACAGTATGGAAGATGAGGTCAAAGGGAATGGCTCCATGCTGCCCCACATCCAGTAGGTCTCACCATCTAGTACATGGATTAGGAAAATAAACTGCTCTCAGGCAAACACCCTCCTTTTGACTAAGGAAATGCAGCAACTTGCTGAGAGCTGTTAAGTTCTGCCAGTTTGCAAGTGTGGTATTTGAAACACTTCAAAACCCAGTGAGAGAGAGAATATACGGTGTCAGGGCTTTAAGCGTTGGGTGTGCCAGGGGGCCTCCACCTGGGAACAGCTGTCATGGGGGCAGTTTAAAACCATTTCTTATTGGGCAGATTGATGGAGACAAAGCTTCTTATTGCACATCACCCTGCTTCCGCCTGCTAAATAGCCCTCTCTGCAGCTCTGGGTCAAGAATTCATGGGGAACAAAAGTGAGGAGTCTTAGGTGGCAACCTTGGGAATCTGAGACAGGAGCTTCATGGAGTCTTATTTGTATGTTTGGTGCATAATGAGAAAGGTTTACCCCCACCTCTGCTCTTGGCAAGAAAAAATAACCCCAAAACCATGGAAGAGTCAGTAGTGACAGTCTGCTGTGGGCTGTCCTGCAGCCCCACCATGCTTTGTTGTCCTCCCAGTCATGTGAGAGGTCTACTCTCTACAATCTCTAATGTCACTGTAAGAGCTAATGAGGATCATATATGTAGGATAGGTAGGGTTTTGTGGAAAACAATACACTCTGTGTATCCAAACGAACCTTCCTGCCTTCCTATAGCTAGAAACACTTTCAATTCATAAGAGAAAAAACAGCAATTAAATACCAAGAGCTCTTGTTTGCACATGACAACATTCGATACTGCAGTATCTTTCCTTTATTCAAAATAAATAAATATAAATAAATGTTTTGGCAATGGCATTGCAGGAGCATGTGTGTGTGTGTGTGTAATTTTAGATTGTAACTCTAGGGGTAGGTTTTCAGCTGAGTTTTCATCTACCTGTGCCTAGGATGGCAGGGCCAGGGTTATGTGTGTCATGGCTGTGTGAGGGTAAGCCAGTGGTGGGAGGATTTCTGAGCTGCAGTACTGAAGCCTTGCTCTGTTTCTGTGGGCCTCAGGCTGAGAACAACAGCTCTTCTCCATGCTGCTGTGACCACTTGCAGGTGTCTTTGCCACAGGAGGGAAAACATCAGCTGTCTGACTTATGGGGAAGCTACTGGGAGATGCATGCCTGGGGGAGGATGTATATAGAGAATATATGCATCACTCCTCAGCTAGTAGTATTTTAGAATTTCAGTTTCTGCCTGATAACAGGAAGGTGATAGTGCAGAGGAAATAGATATATTTTTTCCAGTATTGGTGGAAAAGGGCTTTGACAAATAATAGGATCAGCAAGACAGGAAACATTATTTCTGGGCATTGCCTTGAGCAGATGTGACATTTCATAGCTTCATGGACCCTAAGATTAAATTCTTGATTTTCAAATGCAAAAAGCCTCTTAGATAAAATAACATAACTTATTGATCTTATTTGCACCTAAAAAATGGAAGAAAAAATTCTTCTCCACTAGTACTTTTAAAGTGGATATTCAGTTACTTAGGCTGGGATGAAAGGGATGAAAAGGGGTGACAAACATGGCTTAAATACTGTATTAGCTCTTTTATTTATTTTATTTATTTATTATCACTGTATTAGCCAAACACAAGATGAGTGGTTGCTGGAATATTTTCTAGTTGTGGCTGGTGCATAGCACCAGAATATACTCAAAATAGACTTTTCTTGGTTAAAATCTCCCCTTACCTTCACATGATAACATCTCACCTCCATCTCATTGTTGATGGAGTCATTGCAAGGTAAGAGAAAAGAAGAAGAAATAAAAGGGAAGTTCTGTAACTACAGAGAGATGTGATAATTTGAGAATTTCTTGAATGCACTGATGTCTTAGAAGCTTAGATACCATGGAGATAGTTGCCTTAGCAATGTTTTAGCCACATAGGCATTCACAATCAAGTGTGCCTCTTGTGGCAAAATGATGCTGTGTTACCTTTTTTTTTTTTTTTTTTCCCCCAAGCTTTTGTGAATGTACAATAAAGCAGTTTGTGGGTTTTTAACTAGACATCATACTTTTTCTCAAGCTTCTTGTCCTTGACATTCTTTTAATTTTTCATTGGCGTTAATTCTGAAAATAAATGTCTTTCAAGCTAAGGTTTTGTACAGACAAGAGCCTGTCTGATTTGGTCCCTGTTCACCTCAAGATAAAAACAATCCCACTTAGAGGGTGAGAAAGGATCAATTTCAGAAGTTGTGTTCAGATTTTTTCTTTTAAAAACCAGTACAGCCTGAGTTGCTGTAGGTTTAACATTTCCACAGCCTGACATCATATCAAAATCTGTGTATTTTCACAGTAGGAACTCAGACAAACCAAATGTTATGAGAAATGGAGTAAAAGGGCAGATTTCTCTATTAGGATTTGAAGAGTATCTTACTAAAACCAGTATGTAAATATATAAAGTGAGATTGAAGACAAAAACAATTATCTTCACTAGTTGGAACTGAAAGTATTTTCATTTCAAAGTGATTTTTTTGGAGGGAAGACAATTTGGAATTTTAGAAAAGGCAAAACTGCTGGCTGGTAGGGCAGCAGGCTACCAGAGGTGACAATAAAGTCTTGGTGGGGGCATGGTGGCCTCTGTTTGGTGTGTGTTTACCCTCCCAACACCTTCCAGCTTTAGATGTCAAGAGGAGTGGCAAACCTGGCTTTCCAGGACTTTCACTCAGATTTTGTCTTTGATCACAAAAGCTCTGTGATTTTCAGGCCGTGGAGAAGCCCTGGGCCAGCTCAGTGGCAACATGTTTGTTTTTACTTCACCCAGGTTTGTGCTCCTAACACCAGGCATCCCTTTATGGAAATATCTAGAGGAGAGGTATAATCCATGGAAAATGGAAGTGTCTTTAGTGTTTCTTGGTGTATGCTAACCATGTCTAAATATGGGAGCCCTGTGAAAGCAGTAGATGCTTCCTTCTTTCTTTTAATTGTTTACCACACTCTCCCTACCTTCCCTTTCATTTTTCTCCCTTCTAAGAAAACCAGTAAAGCACAATTAAGTAAAGGCTTATTTATATTGATCTTTTTCAGGCTGTTAATCATAGACTCATAGAGCAACTCCTATTGGAAAGGACCTCAAAAGACCATCTGGTCCAACCTTTTGTGGGAGCCTCTATGAGATCATCTAGCCTGTTTAGTTCTGCCTTCAAAATCTGCAGTGATGAGACCTCTACCCCTGGATGTAGTTGCTCTTATTCTTACTGCAAAAAAATTTCCTTCTTGTATTGAGATTAAACCCAGACTCATTCAACTCATACCCATTGCCTCTTTTCTTCTTTGTTCTCTCTTGTGAAGAGAGAGCCTGTCTTCTTTGTATTCACCTTTCAGCTACTGAAACTACAATGAGGTCCCCCTTGAGCCTTCTCTTCCTGAGGGGAAAAATATTTGAATCCTATAGCCTTTCTCACAGGGCAGATTCTCCAGTTATTTGGTCATCTTTGTGGCCCTTCTTTGGACTTGTCTAGCCTGTGCATGGCTTTTGAACATCCAGGGGACCAGGACTGGACATGGTACTGCAGCTACTGTGCAATGATGGGAAGAGTCAAGTTTGTCGATCTGCTTATAAGGACAGGTGAAAAATATAAGGAGACTAGAACTAAGGGCATTGAGGATAGATAGAAAGAAATAGAAATACAGGGCTGGGGAAGGGTATGCCACGTGGGGAATTTCTTTTAGATTTAAATTTTTGATTTAGATTTAGTTAGCAAACCTACCTTTACCTGGAGTCATGACCTGTGTTTGTGGCAGCTTGTATGTGCTGTCTTTTTTTTCAGTAACTTCCATTCCCTTCTAATCTGCAAGGCCATGAGAGGTCAAATCTGCACAAAATCATAATTAGCTGTTTGTAATTTCTGTTTCAAGTGATTTCTCCCACTGGGACTGAAGCAGAGCCTATTATTGTGCTATTTTTGCCCCACAGCCCTGCAGGAGTACCTAAGTGTCCTGTGCTGAGATCTCCACAGGGAGGAGCAGGTACGTGCTCTGACGAGGCTGTGCTCCCCCCACCAGAAGGATGCTGGACGCTGACAGGCCTGTTTCCTGAGCTCTTGCTGTCCTCTGCAGTGGCTTTCGCACTTCATGCTGAAATATTCCCATGATTAAACTCCACAGCATGTGTTTAAGACAAGCTGATCTTTAATTCAGTTGTCATGTCTGAGTTGCACACTTTGTGAGATTCTGAAGTGGTTTTTATAACTTTTCAGATTGAATTTTAATGATGAGAACATAAAAGCTTTTTGACTGTTATGCACTATTTTTTGTTAAAATCACCATTAATAATCATATCATAAATCTTCATTTTCATCACATTTCATGAATGCTGCTGGCATGGCACACTGTCTTCATAAAACTCAAGTACCTGCTCTGCTTAATGAGGGTCCATCATCTGTGGTGGATCTGCAGCGGGACAGGACTTTCTGAGAGAGCACAAAGGCTGGTGGAGACCTATGGCTTCTGTGAGGCTGCTGCCACCACAGCTGCAGGAGAAAAGCTGTGTGGTGGTGGTGAAGCAGTGCTCTTGTAAGCTGGGAAGATGTTCTGCAGCAGTGACTCTTGTGACACTGATGCAGAGATGATTTTGGCTTATTTTATGGGATAAGTCAGTGCAAGTCATTGGGAGATGTGTGGGAGAAAATCATGGTAGGCATGGAAAAAGTAGAAGACCCATCTATTTATCTAATTCAGTGCTTATAGTGGCTAAATTTGAAGTTGCAAAGATGTTTAAAACATTGGAATTTTTCCTGGTGTAAAGAAATTAACAAGGGAAATACCCAAAAATGCACTCAAAGAAATCTGATTGGCACTTTTAACATGCTTGTACTGCAGTAAACATTGGGTCAGTTCCACTTAATCCTAGTATATTTGTTTTCACTTTTTTAGAAGAACGCCCCCCAGGGACAGATGTACTTGGATAACAAAGATTGCAGTACAGTTACTAGACAACAAGAGATGGAGCTGAATCAGACATCATCACATCAGACCAGTTTATCTGCAAAGGTGGCAGCCAAACCAATGACCAGAAGTTGCAACGAGCTGCAGTTATTAAAAGAGTATCATGGCATGGTAGCAAGTCTCGGAGATCCACAGACCCTGTGTGAAAAATCAGCAATAGGGGAGGATGGCTGCATTGCTCTGGGAGAGGATTTCACTCCTGTGCCCATGCAGGGAAGGTAAGAATAAGAGCAAACAATGTTTTTTCTCCAAATCAAAATTAATTTTTATTTCCTTGCAGGACAGATGCATATGTTCTTTAAATTAATATTTCTCCCACTGACACAAAGAGGTAAAACCTTAATGGAACATCAGGGCAGTTGTAATTGCCATGGAGGGGTCGTGAATCACTAGATTTCTAAGCTATTCTCGCCACTATGGGCCAATTTTGCCGTGATTTCAAGATCAGAAAATTGGCTTTTCTTCTCTACTTGGTGTCAGAAAACACACAGAGATAAAGAAGTTTTCACATCCCACCCTATACCTCTTTCAGAGAAATGCATCGTAAAGGCATAGAGAGAAATACTACAGCTGAGGCTGCAAACACTAAAATGTCACTATAGCACGACTCTGATAGCTGACACCACACATCAAGTGGACAAGGAGTGTGTGTTCCTTGTGCATCCTCTCCCACATCAGGAACGGTGCAGTTTGCTGGGGAGGGGTGTAAATCTTTCCTGTTGTATCAGATACAACATCAGCAATTCCATTTGTAAGTACTTAGAAATAATTTATAGACCCCAAAATATTTCAGGTGGATTTTGAAAGCTTTGAACCAGCAGAAACTACAGTGAGTGGAAGGCAGCCAGGGTGGGCTGTCAACTTTTTCGGTAGTTTTGAGCATCTTTAGAGGTGGCTTGACAGAACCTAAAGTGAGAGAGAAGTGCTGTACCTAATCCAAACTCCCGCAGAACATAGGCCTTGAAATGCTGCCTGGTAGTGTCTGCATTGAGCAAGGCTGACACTGCAGCTGTGAAGCAGAGTGTCAGCACAATATCCAGAACCTGATGCTGGAGACCTTTGTTGTGTGGCTACAAATCAGGAAAATCATGTCATGTGGGAGGTGCAGTCCTGGGGGCTCCCCACAGTTCTGGCTGTGCTGGTGACACCTCTGGTTTGGTGAGAAGGGCTGAGATTTGACCCTTGCCCCTGCATCTCAGTTAGAAGGAAATGTGCTTATCTTAGGAAGAAAGGAAGTTTGGGGCATTTTGGTAAGCTCCCTGACCTGAGCAAAGGAAAGCCAGGTTAGCTGGATGAGTTTTGTTGTGCCCCTTAATTACACACATCATAATTATGGCATAGAAATCTACAGCAAACTCAGTCAATATTTTAATTTGCATCTGAAAGTGTTTCTGTCAGAGTGAGAATCGGAAATCATTATAACTATGTTTTCCAAATATTAAAAAATGAATCAAATTATTAGTTGGACCCAAAAGCCCTATAAACCATTTTTTTTTTTGAGTATTTGAGGATTTTTGTGTTGACTAAGAATTTTACTGACAGAAACAAATCTTTTAAAAATTCTTCAGTTCATTATGTGAAGGGATGAGTTAATGTCTTATTCTGAAAGAGCATGGTAAGTACAATGTGTGTGAGGATGAGGGGAAGGCAAGGGAAGAGAAGGGAAGGACTGAATGCATCTGAAGACAAGGTTTTTCTTTTTTGAATTCACATCTATATCTTGCTACAGCTGTGTTTGCCAGTGCTGTTTACCTTCTTGTCTACTACCTGGCACTTGAACAAAGTCCACATTTGTATTCTTATGGACCAGCTTTCACTGTTCTGGCTAAACTTCTTCCTATTATTTTTCAGTGAGTGATATGAATATGTGTACTGGCAATACACAACATCTGTGAACTTCTGAACCATCTGTAAGCCCTCTCTGGTCTCAGGTGCCAGAGATGAAAAATACTAGGTCATGGGGGAGCCCACCTTCCTGTGAGTGCAGGGAGTAACTCCGAGTCTTTTGCTAACACTGTTAGTGTTGAGTAAACTGGAGTCACTGTGCATGATTTAGGAACAGAGATACAGTTAAATAGCCATACCCATACCTGTGCTCTCTTTCAGACAAATGTATATCTAATCTTCTATAGTAGTATATTAGGGTTCAGAAAAGGATCTCTCAAAATTTCTTCTTGTTGATCTTTGCCTCTTCCTCTTCCAATTTTGATTTTCTTTTTTTAAAAGATTAAACCTATCAGTCTCTTTATCACTTTATATGATGAAACTTATCACTCTCTCCTTAGCATGCATTTTAACCAATATATATCAGGTGCAGTTAAAATACTGATGTGACCTGTGTGACCACTCTATATGAGCAATTACCCTTAAATCATTGTGACTACCCAACAGAATGAGGATAAAAACAGGGATAAACTTTTGCAGAGTCACAAGTTGTTTGATTAGTTTCATTAGAATGAGAATTAGCTTTCAATGTAAATTGTTCTTTTGCTTGCAAAGAAAACTACTGATGATTAAAATAAGAGGAGACAAAACTTTTTTTCCATTAAGTGGTTCACTAAATTGGCACGTCTGTATGGTTTGTTTTAATGCATCTACTCAACTTAAATTGCTGAATTATCTTTCAGGATAAGACTCCCAGGTTCTCTAAATTTTTCACATGTATACTGAGACAAGACTTTCCAAAGAATCTATTTAATAGAACAGAGGATTTATCTCAGTCTCTAAAATTACCTTTAAAAAAGTGTTCTTGTGTTAAGCAGGGCCATTCACCCTGAGACAGATATGTCCACCCTATTTGGATTAAGCATTTCCTTTTGATTGCAGCACAGTCCTGCAGGTATTTTGTGGTCAGTGTACCTATTGGGCTGCCTGTCTGTCAGAGTGCCTTCTCATTTACTTTCCATGAACACTGGTACCTTCTAACTCCAGGTTTTACTGCATTGCCTTAGGTTCCTCTGTGTGAGATCTGGACCATCCGCTGTGGTCACTCCAATGATTCTGTATTTCCAGTGTTCTTCCCCTAGAAATAAAGCTGTCTGCCTTCTTATGAACAACATAGTTGCTTCAGTCCTGCTTGCTGGGGACAATGTAGGCTTGCTTCTCTGAAGCGACCATGAATGAGCTCCAGTGACATCCTATTCAGTTGGAATGCACCTGGCCTAGGTGTATGTTTACACTGAACTGTGGTGTACTTTGGATTATCAGAAATACAACTTTTAAAGTATCAAAACATGGCAATGAAGTCTGCATTTTGTTTTTTCATTTCTCTCAAATTCCTCAGATTTTAAACAATGTCTTGACCGGGGTCCTTTTCGTTACAGTTACATGAAAGTGACTTTTACAGCCAATAGACCTTGGCCCAAACCACCTTCATGAGCTCCTTGCCTTGCAGGAAGATTCCACACTGCTTTGTGGCACCATAGGCAACACTTTTCAGGTCAGCACTGACACCTCTAAAGACACTGGCTACTCCCTTCCATCATGTCTCTGTACATACAGGATGTGGCCCCAAAAAGGCCCTTTGGTCTCATCATTGTCAGCGCTATTTGCCTGGGAAGAACTTAACAGCATGGTTTTATATGAACCAAATCTGAAATCTTCCTTTGTGATCCACAGGAAGAGGGTGAATTCAGCTATTTACCTTAGGAGCTCATGAGCATCAAAGGTAATCTATAGAAATGAGGTGAATAGTAATTCTTAATTCCATGTAAGCAATTACTTTGCATTACTCCACTGAAGTTATATTTGGATGAACTTGGCCCTGGAGTTTTATGGTCCTCTAATATGGTAGTCCGTAGAAGACTTTTTCTTTATTCTTTGTGTGTCATTAAGAAGATCCATCTCTAGAATAACAAAAAAAAAAAACCCAACCAAACAACAAACCAACAAAAAAAACCTCAATTTTTTTTTAGTCTGCTTGAAAATATTTTTCAGCAAGCAAAACTATTTCTTTCACCATTTCTCCTGTCCCTCAGTTTCACTTATGTAGTAAAAAGTAAAAATAATCAATCAAATCCACCTCTTCCTGAATATCTGGTATCAGAATCAGTAGGGAGATTGGTTTGCAATCTCAGGTTTGCAAGGTCAGTGAATTAAAATGTCTATTGAATCTTTTGTTTGTAGCAAAACAGCAGGAAGATTGCAATTTTATTTTCTTTTAGCTGGAGAAACTGGAAGAGGAGAAGGTATTGTATGTGTATGTGTATGTGTATGTGAAAAGTCAATATGAGAGTGAAGTTATGCTTTTAACCATAAGGGATTATAAATCTCAATTTTGATTTTTAATTATGTTGATGTATTGCTACTTTTAAAAGACATTTATGAGATTTAGAATTAGATGTCAAGAAGACATGGTTGCTGTCTGAATAAGTAAAATTTATGTGACAATTTAAAAGCTTCTTTAATTTATGTGACAATTTGAAAGACAGGGGAAAAGACTAAGGGATAAAAAAACCTCTCTAAAACAATAAAACCACTTCTTTTTTTTTTTTTTTGTGCACCCTAAGGCTAATTTTGATCTTTGGCTATTAGAAAAAAAAAGGGATCATCTCTTTAACAGTCAAACACAGAAAGCATCATTTTCACTTCATAATTGCCTGTTTGTGTAGGAACCGTTCTGATTTTTAATGTCAGTCACAGAAACATTAGAGAAGAGTCCAGCACAGATAGATGACTTCACAGCAAAATGTCACCTTCATCATCCTCAAATGATGGTTATCTTGCTTGCTGTCTGAAAGATGGCACTTCTGGCTTTCTTCTCATTTCTTATCCATAGTGAACGTTTCTATATTTTGATTTCCCATGTGGATCTTTAAATGCTATGACACTGCAGTAAACAAATAGTACGGAAGAAGTTTGAAAGTCCAGCTTTTCTAATTGATTTAGTTTGATTAATTTGGTTTTAAATAGACCCTCTAAAACATTTATTGCTTACATGGAGGCATGTGGGTTCAACACAGCTAATCATGAGCAAACTATGTAGGGGCATGGAACTGCTGAGACTCTCTTAGATTAGATAATAGCTCCCTGCTGTTGCCACTACAATATCATAAAATACCATTCAAATCCTGAAAAGCTCAAAAGAAGCAATAAACAGCTCTAGCAAAACTTTAGGCTGAATGATAGGAAGTATAACAGAAGACCATATTATGCACAATAGGCAAATAAATAAGTTTTTGTCAGGTTCTGCTGCCCTATTCTAATTTGCTGTTCTGCG